GGTGAGGAAATCCATGCATGCAGACAGCACTTAGAGAAAAAAGGTCTTCTGCAAAGCTGAGGGTGTAGAGTAGTCGCCTTGCGCCTTTGTGCATGGATGGCTCTGGCAGGCCTAGCCCTCCCCCCATTTGTCCTGACTTGCTAAAAACCCGTAGAGTACATTCTTAAAGTTAGCCCCCAAGGTCTATTCCCTTATTTGGTTAGCTGCCCTTTGTGCAGAAAACTTTGTCTTGGGTGTCCTAACTGAGGGGCCACTTAGGAATGCAAGAAATCCAGTATTTTCTGGAGGGCTGGAAGTTTTAAAGTCTCTTAAGAGTTTTCCTTCCTTAATTTAGGATTGGTTAGTTTGAAGGAAAACTGGATGGTTGATTGGCCCACAGCTGTTGTGTAAACATGCCCTGACCCAGCCATGAACCTGTTGAGCTAGTCCATCAGCAGGGCTCTGCTGGTTGGAGACCACAAAGCCTTCCTTTTAAGGGCTTTTGTCTCAGCCCCAGAATGTGAGGAAAAACCCAGTTACTATGAAAGCTGCTGTCTTTAATACCTAGTCACAGCTCATCTCCCTATTTGTCTGCCTACCTGGGCGCCTTGGTCCTACTGTCCCAGGACCTTAGCCATGCCAGCAAAGTGCTCTGCCTGACCGTCTACAGCCTTGACTCTTCAATTTAGCAGTATTGCTGGCCTGAAAGTTTTTAATGTTTGCATTTGATACTGAGCTGGGAACAGGGTGTTTGTGTTTCTGTATGACAGGGGTTGGGGGGGAGAGGGAGAGAGAGAGAGAGAGAGAGAGAGAGAGAGAGGAGAAAGATTGATTTCTGAGATTTCCATTGCAATGCTCTTTTATAAAGGAACCATGGGGAATTTTTTCAGGGACCTGTATATAGTTATGTCCATTTTTTAGCATGCTCAACTAAGGAGTTTATTCCTGAGCAAGTTTAATTTAAGGTCATAGACAGTACACAGATTTTACCTGCTTCTCTGTTGCCTAGTAGCCTATGATGTCATCAAGTGTTGCCCACCAGGTAGACATCTGCACCTGGCAGGTGAGGTTCAGCTGTGGAGAATATAAATGGGCCCCTGCCTCTTACTGCTCTCTTTTGCTCTTGTGGTTTCTTCCTCTCTCTTGCTTTCTCCCCTTTCTCTCATGGGGTGCCCCTCCACTCCCATCATGTCTCTTTCTCTCCTCTCCATCCAATAAACATCTTTAATATAATATCTGTTGTGCACATCATTTCACTAAGATCATGTAACAAACAAAAGGTAGAATCTGAACCTCTCTCATTCTTGTAGTTTTTCAATTGCTTCTTCTAAGGCAATCATTTTAACCAACAAAATGGGTTTTTGAAGTTTTGTAATGAGACAAAGCCAGGCTCTGTCAAGAAGGAAAATTTTCTTTCTTTCTTTTTTTTTTTTTCCCCAGACAGGGTTTCTCTGTGTAGGCTTGGCTAGACCAGGCTGGCCTGGAACATACAGAGATCTGCCGGCCTCTGCCTCCCCAAGTGCTGGGATTACAGGTATGTGCCACCATGCCATGCTGAAAGTTTTCTTCTTTAATTTTTGAGACATTAAATTTTGCAGGTGAGGCTGGCTTTGAAAACTCTCTTTCTGCTTGCAGTGTTGAGATTATAGGTTGGCTCCACCCTGTCCAGCTCTTACAACTAATTTGCTGATGGATTTACACATGCTAGTAACTATATACTTACAGCTACATCGAACAATTGAGAATGGAGGAGGAAGTAATATTAATATATTTGTATTAGACATGTGCAAACTTAGGGCTGCAGACAATGAAAGAGAATTCATAAAATTAGCTTCAGTGGTAGGTGCTCTTAGGAATGACGTTAAAGAGTATCACACAGTATGTGTGTTTTCTTGTGCTTTTTAAACTATTTACTTTTTAAACAAAATTAGGGTCTAGCAATGGTGGTGCAGGTCTTTAATCCCAGCACTCCGCGAGGCAGAGGCAGAGGCAGAGGCAGAGGCAGATCTGTTTGAGCCCAGCCTGGGTCTACATAGTAAGTGCTAGAACAGCCAGGGCTACACAGAGAAAGCCTGTCTCAAAAAACAAACAACAACAACAAAATTAACTTTGCATTAGCTGGGTGTGGTGGCACAGGCTTATAATCACAGCATTTAGAGAGGCAGAGGCAGGTGGATCTCTGTGAGTTTGAGGCCAGCCTGATCTACAAAGTCCAGGACAGCCTTGGCTACACAGAGAAACCCTGTCTCAAGAAAACCAAAACAGTTAACGTTGCTATTTTATGTCTTTGCACCACCAACGTGCCTGATGCTCTCAGAAGCCAGATGCCATTGGATCCCCTGGAACTGGAGTCACAGATAGCTGTAAGCCACCATGTAGGTGCCGGGAATTGAACCTGATCACCTCTAAGATCAGCAAGTGCTTTTAACCACTGAACCATCTCTTCAGCTCCTTATTTACCTTTCTTCTTTTTTTCCTGTTTTAGTAAAGAGAGAAGGAAGGCATAGAGTTAGATAGGTGGAGAAATAGGGAGGATCTTGGAGGAGACAGGAGAGAAAAGTGTGATAAAACACAGAATATCATGGTGACAATGTATGTCCTATACAGTATAGTATATAGGAATGAATTAAACTAAACAATCAAAACAGTGACACTGGGCATCTGAAAAACATCTGTGGGAATTTGAGAAGCTGGCATTCTTGTCTATCACGTTCTTTTTCCACTCCCAAGAAATCTAAAGCTATACACTTCCTGTATCCACTTCCATTGTATCCGATATCAAGGAGCAAAAAGGAAATACATGCGCTTATTTCCTGGTAGAAAGAATTAAGTATTTTAGAAACCCACCCTGCTACCTATACCTTTTTCTTTTCTTTTTTATCCCTAAGATAGGGCCATGCATTGTAGTCCAGGTTGACCTTGAACTCTCCATCCTCCTCCTTCAGATTCTCACATGCTGACAGCAGGCCTTCTCCTTGCTTTATCATGCACATTGAGAGTCCTCTTCAAGGTGCTCTCTAAACCTATAGATTCCGATCATTCTATTTGCTATCCTCATAGTCACTAATTAATGTAAATTTTAACACTTCATCAAATACTATGCTTTGTTCCTCCAGTTTCTTTTGGAATTATTTTGATAGCTATTAGAGTGAAATTAGTTGACAATAAAACTCATATCTGCAAAATACCTATTAGAAAAATCATAAATTTTAAAATCTCAAATTGGCTTTGATTTGCAATTTGTGACCTCTGCAGCACCTCATTCTATAAAGTAAACCAGCATCGTGAGGAGTTTGACTACCTAGACAGAAAGGGATTGAGGGAACAGAATTAGAATGAGGATATCAGTCCATTGAGAGATCTTGCCTGTGCAGATTAAAGTGCAGAGACTTCCCTGTCCTGGCTAAACCTAGACTATATGAGAATTTGGCTATTTCTCACTCAGTTTTCCTCCTGATTGTCACCAAGGACAGATAATTTAATTTCAAATTTGGTGGCAAAGGACTTTGGCTGACTCCATGTTAGTCTAGTCTGGTATGCCCAGAGAGCTCTGCCCACACCAGTATCCTGTTAAATGTTTCTATTTAACAATGCCAAGAACCATGAAGGTGATGACTGCAAAAGAGGCCCAACTCGTCTTTTTTGTTTAGTTTTGGGTTTTTCAAGGCAGGGTTTCACTGTATAGCCCTGGCTGTCCAGGAACTCACCCTGTAGACCAGGCTGGCCTTGAACGCAGAGATCTGCTTGCCTTTCTGCCCACTGAGTGCTGAGACTAAAGTTTTGCACCACCACTGCTTGTCTAGAGTCTTTTCTTTTCTTTTCAAGACAAGAGTTTCTCTGTGTAGCCAAGGCTGTCCTGGACTCACTTTTTGAAGAGGTTGGTCTCAAACTCACAGCGATCTGCCTGCCTTTGCTTCCCTGGGTGCTGGGAGGCGGCACGCTGTGCCTGGCTTAAAGGCTTCTTTTCAAATATATTTTTTTTTGAAATTTTATTTTTCTTTTATGTATGATTTGCCTGCACGAAAGCCTCTGCACCACTTATGTTCAGTGACCATGGAGGCTGGAAATTAGAAGTCAGATCTCTAGAACTAAAGTTGCAGATGGCTGTGAGCTGCCGTGTGGGCAGCTGAGAACCGAATATGGGTCCTCTGGAAGAGCAGCTAGTGCTCATAACCACTGAGCCATTTCCCTAGGCCCCTAAATAGTGTCATAAATGACAGCTATTTAAAATTAGACTGTGTTTAAAGGGTTTTAAAGATATATGTATGCAATGTCTGCCTGCATGCCTGCAGGCCAGAAGAGGGCAGCAGATCTCATTATAGATAGCTGTAAGCCACCATGTGCTTGCTGGGAACTGAACTCAGGACCTCTGGAAGGGCAGCCAGCGGTCTTAACCTCTGAGCCACCTTTCCCGGCCCCTGTTTAAAGGTTTTAACAAAGGATACCAATAGAACCTTTTCTAAATTGAACTAAAGATACCCTGATATACTCTGGATTTTCCTTTTTCATGTGGCTTTATCTAGGAATTAAGGGCCCAGCCAAAAACATTCATTTATTGTTTCTGAAATGGGTACCAAAATATCAAATTAGTGACTAACTTAGATGGAACGCATGGGTACAGGATTCTAGTTCATTCTTCTCCAAATCTATCACTCTCGCCTTCCTTAAATGAAAAGGTATTATGGTGGACATGAGATCTTCCTGCCTCAGTCTCCCCAAGTTCCTAAATCACAGAGGTCTGCTCAGATCGTGGTTACTTGTTCCATAGCACACCTATAGAGAGAGGGGAGCGGAGAGGAGGGGAGGATGAGAAGGGAGCGGAGGGAGAGAGAGAGAAAGAAAGAAAAATTCCTGGGAACACAGGAGGGGCAGGAAAAGGAACGCACACAGCAGGTCGGCTTTGCAGGCTACCGGGAGAAGACCACCGCCCATTGCTTTCGTCACAATCCGCCGCCGCGCAGCCCCCGGTTGCTATGGGTGTCGGGTAGGCCACCGCGCCCCCGCCCTTCCGTGGGCGGCGACCCGCGGGCGGGCTGTGGGCCAAGCAATGCCGAGGGACATCGGCTCCAGGGTGGGGGCTCCACGGTGCTCTACGAGCCTCACTCGAACCCAGTCCCATGCGGCCAGCGCCCCACCACACTGAAGCCAAAAGGCACAGGACCACCGCTCTGCCCGCCCGTGACGGAGAAGGAACTTGAGGCGCAGCGCGGCTCCGGGGACCTGAGGTGAGGCCGGACCAGGGAGGGCGTGGGAAAGGCGAAAGTGCCTCTGTGAGCGGGCGGAGCGGGCTTGGCGGGGCACGGAGGCTCGCCGCCGAGCACCAGACCGTGGAGCGGCGTCGCCGGGCCGCCGGGGGCGGGGCCAGCGGCACGAGGGCGGGGCCTCGGCGCGCGCCGGCGTTAGAAGCCGCGGCGTAACCAATGATTGCGTCTTCTCCCGCACCTCCCGTTAAGCCCCGCCTTCACGCCGCGTCCCTGGCCGAGAATGGGCGGGGCCTGCTCCTGCTGCTGCCTTGTCTCTGTGTTCCGCCCCGCCCCCGCGCCCCGCCCCCTTCCTGGCGCAGGCCGCTTCCTGAGAGAGCCGCTTCCTGACACGATTCCCTCCCCCATCAGGGCTCTCTCAGGGCGTAGGGCTCCGGGCCGCCACCGCCACCTCGGCCCCTGCCGGCGCCGCCGCCTTTCCCGCCCACCCCTCGCCATGTCCGAGGAGCTCTCGGCGGCCACGTCCTACACGGAAGATGACTTTTACTGCCCTGTGTGTCAGGAGGTGCTCAAGACGCCGGTGCGGACCGCGGCCTGCCAGCACGTGTGAGTAGACGCCCCTTCCCTCGCGCGGCGCACCGGCCCTGCGGCCCCGGAGCCCGGGGTCCCTGCCGCCCGGCCCCGGCCCCGCCGCCTGCTTCCCGCGCCCCGGGCCGGGGCTCGGGCCCTCCCGGTGGCGTCCCTCGTCGTCCTCGCCGGGCCTGGGAGGAATGGCAGAGAACGTGGAGCCTTTTTTGTTTCCTAGCAACCCTTGTAGCGGCCGGGGCGTTGAGTGCTGGGCCTCGGCCCTGCAGAGGTGTATGGGCCCGTTTGGCGGCCTGCCGTGTTCTCGGGGCGTTTCTTGGTTTTTTCTAAGACCCTGCCCCCGAAGATCCCCCTCCCCCTCATCCCTCCCTCCCCCCCAAGCTAACCCTTGAACCCTCCACCACACCATCCTTGAGTTCTCAAAATTCACTGCTAAAAACCACCTAGAATGAGGTAGCTTCCTTCTCCCACGGTGGTTAGGTCCAAACTGGCAGGATTTCCGGGGCTTGAGATAGCTCCCTTTGTGCTCTCATTCTGTTTACTATTGCTGAGTTACAACAAGAACGGAGGCAAGGTAGTGTTCAGGTTGAAAGCTGAGGGACTTATTCCTGGCCTGAGGTAGAGCACAAAGGCGGTGGACAAGGTGACTTGAGGTAGGTTTCATTTGGCAGAGTTAGAGGTAGAATTTCAGTCATTTGCTAGACGACTGCAGTCAGTAGGATTGGAAACAGACCCTCTCAAACTAACAGCGATCCACCTGCCTCTGGGATTAAAGGCGTGCTTTACCATGCCAGGCTCCCCTGAGGAAACCTTTATAGTCAAGGTAATCAGTCCTTAGGCTCCATTCCAGATTTACAAATGAATTTCTGGCAGGTGGGGCCTGAAAGAAAAAGTTCTGTGCTTCAGGTCGCTAAAAAGCATTGAACAACTCCCTAGATAAGTTTCTCCTTCCACTTTTTTGCTCTTTAGATTTTCGTTTTTCAAGACGGGGTTTCTTTGTGTAGCCTTGGGTGTCCTAGAACTAGCTCTGCAGACCAGGCTGGCCTCCAGACTGGTGGGAGTAAAGGTGTGCACTGCCACCCCTCCCCCCTTTTTGTTTTTAAGTAATGTGACACCAAGGCATTGGCAGAAGAAGCCAGGTGAGGTGGTGCTTAGGAGGCTCAGACAGAAACAATTTGAGTTTGAGGCTAGCCTGGCCACCCCGAACTACCTTCTCTCAAAACAACCAACTAACAGTACCAACAATCCATCAACCTCCCTTCCAAGAGAAGGGAAAAGAGTGGTGGATAGAATTTTTGGTTTCTTTTAAGTACAGGAGACTTTTTTTTTTCTTTTTCTTTTCTTTTCTTTTTTTTTTTTTTTTGCTTAACTTTTTTTGACATTGATAATCTTTTAATAAAGCGATTTTTTTTCATACAATACAGTCTGATCACTGTTTCCCCTCCTACAACTCCTCCAGATCCTCCCTACCCACCCACCTGCCTTTTTATCGTTTTTTTTTTTTTTCAACAAAACATTTTCATTGATTTTCTGGGAATTTCACATCATGCATCCCTATCACCTCACTTCCCTTCCATGTCTGCTTGTGACCCTTGTAACCTCCAACCCCCAAACAAGTAAAAATAAAAATAGTCGGAGCACAATGGCACATCCTGTAATCTCAGCACTCTGGGAGGCAGAGGCAGTCTGATCTCTGTGCTTTCAATGCTAGAGGTCTACAAAAGTGAGTCCAGGACAGCCAAGGCTACAGAGAGAAACCTTGTCTCTAAAAACAAACAACAACAAAAACCCCATAATATTTAAAAATAATTTGTGGTATTCGTATACTCCTTGGAAAATGGACAGACTTGTAATGCTTGCACCTTAAGTAGAACTGAGTCCTTTCCATCAGGCATCCCCACTGGAAGCCTTCAATTATGGAGAGGTATACTTCAGCATCCTTATCACATCTTTTGGTTCTTTTGAGATAAAGTTTCTTTAGTAGCTCTGGCTGTCTTGGAACTCACTCTGAACTCACAAAGATCCTTCTGCCTCTGCCTCCTCAGAGCTGGGATTAAAGGCCTTCCCTACCACTGCCCAGCCTTACCATACTTTTTAAGAGTGCTCTTGGGAAGGCTTCCCATCTGGGCTGCCACCTGCCTCTACTCTATCTCAGTTTTTGTTTTTTGTTGGGTTATTTATTTATTTTCAAGACAGGGATTCTCTGTGAAGCCTTGGCTGTCCTGGACCTTCTTTGTCCAGGCTGGCCTGGAAATCACAGAGATCTGCTTGCCTCTGCCTCTCTGAGCTCTGGGGTTACAGGCATGAGCCACCACTGTCCAGCTCTTTATCTCAGTCTTTAGCAAACAAACCAACCAGAATTTAAAATATATATATATTTACACAAAACAGACAAAATTCATAAACTACAAAATCAGAAAATATGTAAGGAAAAGGACAAAACAATATTATTCAAAAAGTCCACAGAAATACTATCTAGTTCTTTTGTTTTGGCCATCTGCTAGGCATGGGTTCTTTACTGTTCTTCAATCTTCTCTAATTCTGTTCTGTGGTAGTCATGTGAGTTAGCTCTTAATGATGAAATAGATAAATTGTTATTGCTCATCAGGAAGGATTAAAGAGGACTGGATAGATGGCTCTGAGGTTAAGAACAATTACTGTTCTTCCACAGGATCTGAGTTCAGTTCTCACCACCCAGTTCAGGCACACAACTGTTAACTCCAGTTCCAGGGATCCACCTGGTTTGCCTCTACAGGCACCAGTACGCAACATGCACATCCATATGCAGCACACAAACACACACATAACTTAATTAAAAAAAAAAATTCTTTACAAGAAAAGATTAATCCCAGCACTAGGGAGGTAGAGAATCTATGTGAGTTTAAGGCCTGCCTGGACTAGAGTGAGTTCCAGGATAGCCAGAGCTACACAAAGAAACCCTGTCTCAGAAAACCAAAAAGAACAACAAAAAGATTAATGACAGCCTAACATTCCTTTATTTGGGGCAGATGAGGGGAGCAGAAGCCGGAGCAGCTGCTATTTGTGTACTTGGTAGGTCTTTTATGTATAGAATCAGTTCAGATACTCTGGAGTCACTGACCTCATAAGCCCCATTGAATATTTAGTCCCCTCAAAATTCTGTGCACAGAAAATTCCACTACATTTTCCTTGTAGTATATTTAAAATGAAGGATTACAATTTGGCTTGACCTTAAGTGATTTTTTTTTAAAACTTAGTGTGGACTTTCTTCAGATTAACTTACTGGACTTTAACATGAGCAGAATAACTACCTTTTTTCTTATAGCTGCTTTTTAGTTCTGGCTGAACAGTGAATTTTAAAAAGAAAAGTTTTATGCGGATAGGAAGGTGGATAATGTTGGAACAGGGTCTAGGTTGAATTGAATGGAGTGCAGAAATTATTTTTTTAATTAGAATTAAAGTACTGTATTTCCTATATCATTTCTTCACAAAAATTCACCCATAAACAAGTTTATATTTTGCTGTAAAATCAAGTGTGATCTTACTATTGAGCTCAGTGCTAAGGACATATTCCAGTCTACCAAATTTTCCCCTTTTATTAAAAATATTTTTTTTTCCTCTAACATATCTTGATTATAGTTTCTTCTACTACTGTGTTTCTTCTCACCTCCCCACCCATCCAGATTCCCTTTCTGTCTCATTAGAAAACAAAGCAGGTTCTGGGCATGGTGGAGCACTCAAGTGGCAGAGGCAGGTGGGTCTCTGAGTTCAAAGATAGCCAGGGCTATGAGGGAAACCCTGCCTTGAAAAACAAGTCAGAAACAAAAAAGGAAATAGGCTTCTAACAGATGCTAATAAAATCATCTATATTAATAAAGTAAAACAAAACTAACATCGAAATTGAACAAAACAAACATACAGAAGGAAAAGGGAACCAAATTAAGCCCGGTGGTATCGGCCTGTGCCTCTAATCCCAGCACTCAGGAGGCAGAGGGAGGTGATCTCTTGAGTTCAAGGCCAGCCTGGTTTACAGAATGAGTTCTCAGGACAGCCAAGGCTACGCCGAGAAGCCCTGACTCGAAAAACCAAAAAGAAAAAAAAAAGTTATTTCTTTTATTTTGTAATCTTAAAAATCTCTTAGTTTCTTTTCATTTTTATTTTTGTTGCTTGGATAAAATACTTTGACAAAAGCAACTTAGGAAAGAAAGGTTTATTTGATTTACAATTACTTTTATTATTTTGGAGACATCCCAAGAACTCAAAGCATTGCATCCACAGTCAGGAGCAGAGAAAGGGGTGGAGAAAGGGCTCAGAGTTTAAGAGCAGTGGCTGTTCTTCCAAAGGTTCTGAGTTCAATTCCCAGCAACCACTTGGAGTCTCATAGTCATCTATAGTGAGATCTGGAGCCCTCTTCTGGCCTGCAGGCATACATGCAGACAAAACACTATTAATACTAAATAAATAAATAAATCTTTTAAAAAAAAAAAGATATAATAAATGCACAGAACCTTGTGTTGCTACTTAGTCAGCCTTTTCTTAACACACTTTAGGACTCCCAAACAGGGAATGTTGCTATCTGAGGGTTCTGGGCCCTCCTGCACCAACACTTATTCATTCATTCATTTGTCCTTCATTTATTTTACCTATCCAACTATCTATTTATGCATTTATGCAGTATTCTGCCTTCATGTGTGCCAGAAGAGAGCACCAGATCTCATTATAGATGGTTGTGAGCCACCATGTGTTGCTGAGAATTGAACTCAGGACCTTTAGAAAAACAGCCAGTGCTCTTAACCTCTGAGCCATCTCTCCAGCCTATCAATAATTATTAAGACGTTCCTAAAATATGATCTTAGATCCAGCCAACCTAATCTAGAAATACATCAATTGACTTTTTCTTCCCAGGTGATTCTGGGTTGTGTCAAGTTGATACTTAAAACCAATCATCACAGTTTCTAACTCATTTAAAATGTCATGGAGTGTTCGTACACTGTTAGAAGTAAGCTCTAATCCAAATGAAACCTTACATATTAGAACAAATCTTAGAAATACTAGTTTCCTTCCTATGAGACCCAATTTTATATAGCCCAGGCTGGTCTTGAACTCCTCTTATATAACAAAGACTGGCTTTGAACTTTTGATTTTCCTGTCTCTATTTTTCAAGTGTTGGGGTGATAGGCATGTATGCCAATATACCAGGCCTCTTTTTGAGATGAAGTTTCACCATGTAGCTTTAGATTATTGAGAATTAGGATTTTTTTAAAAATGTTTGACAGTCATATACATACAATGTATTGTTCATTTTCATCTTCAATTACCCTCTCTCATGTCCCTTTGAACCTCTTCTCAACAAATCCCCCTTCTATATTTTCATGTCTAAGATTTTTAAGCAACCCAAACTCTTTTGTTGTATAATTTATAAAGGGCCAAAACTAAACAAAACTTGTACTGTTTACCTGTCAGATTAATTTAATTTTTAAGACGTGAAGATTAATTGATTACTGATATCCTTCCTCCCTTATTTTGATGAGCTGTGTATTGTGGGATATGCTTGTACTCCCAGCTTTAAGGAGACTGAGGCAGGTGAAGTGATGTGAGTTTGAGCCTTGTTACCTTGTTTCAAGGGAGAACAAAAGGCCAGGTATGGTGTACATGTCTGTGAGCCTGATTCTTGGAGGCAAGAGGATCAGGAGTTCAAGGTCAACCTATGTGGAGAATTTGAGGCCACTGTAGCTACAGGAGAGTCATATATTTGGAAGAATGAGTTTGATCATATAAATTTGCCAGGTGCTTAATTTACACTAACAACAGGATGGTAGGTGAAAATGTAGCCTTTCTATTGGAGAATGAAAAAAGACAAATATGTGTGGCATCTGCCATAGTGCACTTGAGAGGGATTTATAGCTACAGGGTAAAGTACTATTCTAAAGATACAGCTACTTTGATATGTGGATATAGCTTAATAATTTTTGGTGTGCACCATTTCCTTCTCTTCCTTGTCAGACTCTCTTTTGAAATAGTTTTTAGCAATTTTATCTAGTCTAGTACAAAGGGAGATGATAAACAAGTTTAAATCTGAAGAAGCATGCTGTGGTTCAGAAAAAATAGTAAAAATAAAATATATTTATTAGGTAGTTTTGTTTTTTTGTTTGAATCAGTGTCTTTCATGTAGTTCTGGCTGTCCTGGAACATGATTTGGAGACTAGCCCAGCCTTGCTCACAGAGATCTTTCTGCTTCATCCTGTTGAGTGCTGGGATTAGCGGTGTGTGCCACCACACTTGTCTTTATTTTATAGTTTTCTAACACAAATGTAGCTGGGTGCGGTGACACATGCTTGTAATTCCCAGCACTCAGGAAGTTAAAGTAGGAGGATTGCTATGTTTGAGTTTATAAACTTGAGCATCTGAGTGAGACCCTTTCTCGAAAAAAAAAAAAAAAGTTGTAAAATGGACTTGAGTATAGTTTTGTTACCATCTGATTCGGTTATTAGTCTTATTGCCCGAGAAGTACATATATCTTTTAAAACTGAGTGGTCCATTTTGAATAGTCTGACTATATAGTATATGTACATAACCATAATCACTTGTTTGCGTTTCATTATAGAAATAATAATTTTTTTTCTGTAACTAACATTTCACAAATGTTTGCCTTAGTTTCTGTAGAAAATGTTTCCTGACTGCAATGAGAGAAAGTGGAATACATTGTCCCCTATGTCGTGGAAGTGTCACTAGAAGAGAAAGAGCATGTCCGGAACGGGCCTTAGATCTTGAAAATATCATGAGGAAGTTTTCTGGTAGCTGCAGATGCTGTTCAAAAAAGGTAGAGTTATATTATGCCACTGTTGTAATTTTTTTTTTTTTTTATGAATATGGCTTTGAAAATAAAGACGTTTACAGGCATTATGGTATACACCTATAATCTTTGTTCTCAGAAGGCTGAAGTTCATAGCCAGCTTGGGATAGTCACAAAAACAAAAACAAAATGTTTAGGTTGAGAATTACGTCGAAGACCAGAAAGCTTTATGTATGAAAAACCTAGTTGAATATAAAGGTTTTTTTTTATCTTTAAGATTAAAATTGTATTTTCTCAATAAGCTCAAAGTATATTAAAAACTAAACACAGAGATTTTGGAAAAGTTCTACCTAATGCTCGAATGTTAATAATTTAGTCAAAAAGACTTATGTGCTCAAAGAAAGCTCTGTAGCTGCCCACTTAGGTATTTAAGAAATTCTGAAATATTTCACAGAAGACATGGGATGTGCTTGTTAATCAGATGTTGATTAACAAGTAACATTTTTTAATTGGATTTATTCTACTTGAAGAAGGCTGAACTGATGAGGAGTGGTAAGTATATCCTGTGTCTTAGAGCACATACTGAGCATTTACTCAAGTCAGATTTGCTTTCCATCTCTTTGAAGAAGTTGTTCTAACTGAAAAGGAAGTGAAATGAAGCTGAAATCACACTTATGGGGTTCTGGCTTTATTTTTTAGTGAGAAACCAAAAAATATTCCCAATATTAACATGGGAACATTTTCTACCTGCGTCCTAACTTTGTCAGTTTGTAATAATTAAATAAACTCTCAGCAGCATGAGTCAGCTTCTTAATACTCTTTCTTTTGCATTTGGTTTTCTAACTTTTTTGCTTTTTTGAGACAGGGTTTCTTGGTGTAGCCTTGGCTGTGGACACACATCTATCCACCTGCCTCTGCTTTCCTGTGTGCTGGGATTACAGGCATGCTAACCATGCCCAGCTTGCATTTGGTTTTCTGAGATAGGGTATCTGGTAGCTCAAGTAGGCCTTGAACTCATGATATACCTGAGGATGACCTTGAACAATTGACTTTTTTGTTTGTTTCCACTTCCCAAATGCAGAGATCATCAGCATTAACCACTGTGCCTGGCTTTTTTTTCCGTTAGTTTTCTCATATCAAGAGTAAAGTTATGGGCTGGAGAGATGGCTCAGAGGTTAAGAGCTGCTCTTCCAGAGGTTTTGAGTTCAATTCCTAGCAATCACATGGTGGCTTACACCCATCCATAATAATGAGATCTGGTACCCTATTCTACCCTGCGGGCATACATGCAGGCAGAACACTGCATACATAATAAATAAAAATAATAAAAAGTAAAATTACTGGGGATTTTTTTTTTCCCCAACCAGTTAGTGGAAGCTGGACTCTGTGCATCTGATGAACAAAAATGTATTATATATATATATATATATATATATATATATATATATATATATATATATATATATATATATTTTTTTTTTTTTTTTTTGGTTGTTGTTTTTGGAGGCAGGATCTCCCTATGTAGCCTTGGCTGACCAGAAATTTACTGTATAGATCAGATTGCCTCGGCCTCTAACTCAGAGATATGTGTTGGGGTTAAAGGTGTGTATCACCCTGCCTGACACTTTTTTGTGTAAATGAGATATTTAGTTATTTATTTTAATCTTTTTTCCTCTTACTGATAATATCCCAAATTTTGTGCATTCTGTTTTAAATTAAGAATTATATTTCAACCAATAATTTACAGATTAAATTCTATCGCATGAGACATCATTACAAATCTTGTAAGAAGTATCAGGATGAATATGGTGTTTCTTCTGGCATTCAAAACTTTGCAGACAAGATTTCTCAAGATTCAGTAAGAAACAGGTAAGCAACATTTATTCTAAAAGCAAAATTTTAATGATTGAAATGGGAATTTCTGGGGTTATTATATAATGTGTATACGTTTAACAAATCACACTAAGTATCCTAACTAGAAATTGCCTTCAAATTTTATTAGATATATACAATGTTATAACTAGGAGATGAACTCCATGATCTACGGAAGCTTATCTTAAAATCCTTCTGAGAGTTTCTTGGGATAAAAATTATACCTGGGATTTAAAGGCTAAGCTGATTTTCAGATGAAATAATTTGGAAATCAGGCAAAATCACTATCAATAATTGTTTAAATACTGGAGTTTTTTTTCATTGCTTTCTAAGGAACAGGCTTAGCATTTGAAGTTTTCTGATAATGTCATACAAAAGTTGAGAATTGGGGGCTGGAGAAATGGGTCAAAGATTAAGAGCACTGACTGTTCTTACAAAGGGCCTGAGTTCAATTCCCAGCAACCACATAGTAGCTTATAAGCATCTATAGTGAGATCTGGTGCCCTCTTCTGGTGTGCATACATACTGTGCGGGCAGAATACTGTATAAATAATAAATCTTGGGGAGGAAATTGATACTACAGAATTTTTAGGGTTGTTTTTTTGTTTTTTTTTTTTAAGCTTGAGTTTTTAAAAGTTTTTGTGTCTTGTCTCAGATATATACTGCTGCTGTTGCTGGTGTTACGTATTTTTTTCCTTACAATTATTTTGAGACTGGGTATAGTGTATCCAAAGATGATCTTGAACTTTTTACATACCCTGTGATGGTTTTGACCTCCTGATTCTCTTGGGCACTTGGCTTACTGATGTGCTATTCCAAACCTGGCACCATATGTATGGCTAGAAGAAAAAAAAAATAGTGATTTAATTTATTGTTATAATTTAAAAACATTTATTACATTTGTTTGTGTGTATGTTACTGTGTATGTTACTGTGTGTATGTTACTGTGAACATTTAGAGGTCAGAGGACAACTGGGAGGAATCAATTTTCTCCTTCTTTGTGGGTCCTGATAAATTCAATTCATCAGGCCTTTTGTTTTTTTAAACAGGTTCTCTATCTCTCTTTACATATACATACATACGTTGTGCTGGAATTCACAGTCTGGGCTGGCTTTAAGAAGCTGGCATTCAGAGACTCAAAGAGATGAACCTGCTTGTGCTGTGATTAAAGACATTCCCTCTCACTCCTGGTGGTCATCAGGCTTAGTAGCAAGTGTTTATACCTGTTAAGCAATCTCTTCAGCCTTTCTGTGAGCATCCTTTAGAATGCAGTTTAGATACCTAGTTTATATCAGATAGTGAAATGTTAGCCAGTATGAAGTAAAAGTACTCTGGTAATTTGTTTTTGTTTTTCTCCACACTCCCAGGTACAATACTGAATAGTAACAAGCTCAGTAAAAACTATTCAAGTAAATAATAGTGATAAGATGTATAGCCATTAACCCAGGTCAAGAAATAGAACAGTTGTCAGAACAGTGTTTTGTGAGCTATGTCTCATTTAAACTCCATATAACCACTGTTCTTTCATTTAAATGGTTAATCTCTTGTTTTTCTTCATATTTCATCATCCCTACATGTATTCCTAAATGTTTTGTCTCATTTAGAAGACTAATGACAAGCTTGTATACAAAGAAGCATTACTTCAGTCTTAAAGTAGCTTGCGTAAATCAGTGTGCTAAGTTAAATAAAATAAAATTTTTATTTCAGCACTTGATCCATGTTGCAAATATTCATCCTTTAAGTGTCCTTAAGCACTCTGGTTACCCATATAGTTGTCCTATTGCATTTGACTGTTTTACTGATTACTTAATTAAAACTTCCAGTAAATTCTTTAGGAATGTCTTCACTGCTCTGCAGAACTCCTCAGGTCCTCATTTAACTTGATTTACTGTCAGTAGATGAAATTGTCATTTTCATTTAGTGATTTTTTTTTAACCAAATCCCTGCTGATTCTTTCATTCATGTGCTTTGCTTACTGTACTTTGTTGTATTATAAGTACACATCTGTTTAGTTTTTTGCACAGCAAATTTTTCTTAATGTGGGATAGTGTTTTGTTAACTTTATTCAACATTGTATCCCAAATTCTCAGCAAAGTTTCTTTGGTGTATTATATATACAGTCACTGCTTATTGGGCTGTTTTGCTTTTGTTTTGTTTTGGCTTTTTGAGATTCAGTTTCACTATGTAGCCTCCGCTGGTGTGGACCTTGATACATAGGTTATCCTGACCTCAAACTTTGTGATGCCTCTGCTGGAATTACAGGTATACACCACCGTAATGTGCACTACTTGTGAAATGACAACCCTGAACCCCATCCCTAGGAGACAGACCTTGCTCATTTGATTCCTTAGAATCAATTTGGTCAGACGCTGTTTAGTCCTAATAACAATATTCCTTACTCTTTTTTCCCCTGTTTTTTCCTAACTCAGTCCATCATATTTCTCTGAATTTTATTAGTGTTTAGTTGGTAGTCTCAAATCTGCTTGATGGCACTGTAATCTGTGTGCTTCAGCATATATATGCACATGTGAGTGCAGGTGCTTGCAGAAACCAGGTGTCACATCGCCCTGGAAGTGGGGTTACAGGCAGTTGAGCCAATTGATGTGGTTGCTACAAGGCAAACTCATAGTCTTTCATTGAATCTGGAGCTTTCTGATACCATGAGGGGCCAGGGATCTGTTTTCTATGTCTCCCCAGCACTAGCTTATAGGAGGGCTTTACTGTGCCTGTCTTTTTACATGGGTGCTGTGTTCCTGTCTTTACATGGGTGCTGAAGACGTAAACTCATAGGCTCATGCTTGTGTAGTAAGTGATTTACCCACGGGGCCATCTCCCTGCAAACATCCTTTCTATTTTAGAAGATATTTAACTTAGTTAACAATGAAGACTTCTCTGGGTGAATGCCACTCACCTGTGATTCAGTATTCAGAAGACCAAATCAAGGGAATTGCTGTGAGTTTAAGGTTAGTCAAAGCTACCTGTATGAAATCTTGCTTCTACCTAAAAGTAAATGAATTAATTCAATAAAAACTATAGAGATAGATCTGGTGGCACAGTGCTGTAATCTAGCTACTCAGGTTGAAAGAAGGAGAATCACAAATTCAAGGCCTGCCTGGGCTTTCAAGGCCAGACAAGTCAACTTTAGCAAGACCCTGACCCAAGTGCTAGGAGTTAGGGATGTGCTACAGTGTGATACCCTAAATTAGATCTCCAGTCCCACAAAGATGAGTAAATGAACAAATGAACATACACCTGCATGCACTCTAGATCTGAGTGTGCCTCGACTCAGATTCCAGCTGTTACTTCATCATTGTTTGACTTTAATAAACTGTTCCTTAGTTTTCTCATCTCTTTAAAAGTGGGGTTGAAAGGAAATATGTTAGTGTAGATAAGGTTAAATTGAATATTGTCTTGCATGGTGTTCACACCTTTTGTTTCCATCCTTTATAAGTGTTACTGTTTTTCTTTAGCACCCCAACCCACACCTTGCCAGCTCAGCTGGTAGACATTTTTGTTTTGTTTTGTTTTGTTTTGTTTTAAGACAAAGTTTCTCTTTGTTAGCCCTGGCTGTCCTGGAACTTGTTTTGTACAACAGGCTGGCATCAAGCTCAGAGATTTACCTGCTTCTTCATCCCAAATGCTGGGACAAAATGACCAGCAAAATTTTGATGATGTATTTATTTTTATTTGCATTGATGTTCACCTGCATGTATGTCTGTGTAAGGGTATCAGATCCCCTGGAACTGGCAGGTATGAGCTGCCGTGTCGGTGCTGGGAATTAAACCAGTACTCTAGAAGAGCAGCCAGTGCTCTTAACCATTTCAGCTGGTAGACTCCTGTCTGTCTGTCTGTCTGTCTGTCTGTCTGTCTGTCTATCTATCTATCTATCTATCTATCTATCTATCTATCTATCTATCT